CCAATCTGTGACTTGACTTTGCATTTTGTAAGTAAATATTTTTTAATTAGATGATGCACACATATATAATTCTATACAACTTTTATGATATATTAAATATTTGAACATATGTTTAAATATAATGGATACAAATATAAATATAATGATAATGACAATAGTACCTGCCCTAACTACCCCACAGGACAGTTGCACCAGTTAAATGATGTAGTGTATTTTAAAACTGTTACTTACAAACTATGATACAAAATCCCTCACAGAAAAGTTACTCGCAACTCTACATCTAAATAAGACATCTGAAAAATGACTCTTTCACAAGCAATCAAAATTCTTATTTAATTAATAATAACATGAAAGTTCTCAGGAATCACCTCCTACCTTAATTTATGGCACCCCAATGAGAGATCCATTTTACAGGGATTCCCTATTGGAACTTCCTCTATAAAAGTGTCAATCCTAACGGATTACACCCGAAATCCCACTGTTTCACAAGATGAGAGGGGAGCTTTAAGAGCCTATGTTAAATTCCCTGTTGAAAATGGCTATTACTTTCTATGCTGACTTGCAGAGCACTTCACAAATAGACTCTTAGGACTTGCTGTTCATTATTAAGAATAAGACAAATTTCTTCCCTTTATTATATTATATTTCATCAGCCCCATACTTTCATATGTACTTAGTAACATTTTACACAGTTCTCTACATAATTTATATCTTCCTCATTTATACAATCCCCTTTAATAATGTGATCCAGATTAATACAGTCCTGAAGACTAGAACTGCAATGACTTAAAAGGAATTCACTACATAATTTCAAGAAAGTAAAATTTTTTACACACTGGCTCCTAAATATAATTTAAGTCAGAAAATAGGCAGTACAGAGTATGGTGAGCAGAATAATGGTTCCCCAAAGATATCCATGTCCTAATTCACAGAACCTGTGAATATCATTTTACATGGCAAAGGCAGATGTAATTAAGGTTAAGGACCTTGACATGGTGAGAGTAGCCTGAATTACCCAGGTGAGATTAATCCAAACACATAAGTCCTTAAAAGAGGAAGGAGGCAGAAGAGTGAGTCAGAAAGACGCAAAGTGAGAAGGATATAACCCACCGGATGGAAGATGGAGGAAAGAGGAAAGGGGTCATGAGCCAAGGAAAGTGGCAGCCTCTAGGAGCTGGAAACGGCAAGGAAACAGATTTTCCCCAAGAGCCTCCAGAAAGGAACACAGCCTTGCCAACACCTTGTTTTTAACCCACTGAGTCTCATGTTAAGACTTCTGATCTACAAAACTATGAGATAATAAATTTATGTTGCTTAAGCCACTAAGTTTGAGTGAATAAAAAAGTAATACACAGAGCATACCTCACTCATTTTCAGCAAAATAAACTGCATACTCTGAACCCCACCTCCTGAGTTGAACTCACAGCTCTGCTACTTGTCGGCTGTGTAAATTTAAACCAATTATGAACCTCTCTATGCCTCAGTTTTCTCATCTGTAAAACGGGGCTAGTAATGGTACCCATCCCATAAGATTGTTGAAGGACTAAGTGGGTTAATTTATGTAAAGCACTTTAATGTTGCTGAGTCAATGGTCATGTGAAATAAAAATTTTATTAAGTAGACATCAAATACATCTTAACCTCTATTATTGGTTTTTTTTTTCTTTTTTTTTTCCTTTTTTGTCTTTTTTTTACTGACCGGTAATGGGATTGCAACCCTCGGTGTCGCGCCCGTACCGGGGACCGGCAACGGGATCGCAACCCTCGGTGCTGCGCCCGCACCGCGCTCAACCAGTGAGCAGGAACTGGTCTCCACATGGGATCCGAACCCTCAGCGGGAGCGCCGCCGGAGCTCCCAAGCAGCGCACTCTCCAGCGCGCCACCAGGCCGGCCCTCTATTATTGGTTTTAATCAATAATACTTTATCTTCTTTTTCAGTCAACCACAGAAAAATTACAAGGTTGGGCCGACCCCGTGGCTCACTCGGGAGAGTGCGGCACTGGGAGAGCCGCGGCCGCCGGTTCCGATCCTATACAGGGATGGCCGGTGCGCTCACTGGCTGAGCGCAGTGCGGGCGACACCAAGCCAAGGGTTACGATCCCCTTACCGGTCACAAAAACAAAAACAAAAAAAAAAGAAAAATCACAAGGTCAATACTCTTCAAATCCATCAAGGAGATGAACCCTTCTAAAAAGAAAAGTTTGTACATATCTCTACAAGCAGTCTCCATAATGGTCACAGCTCCACTAATCTACCCTATAGTTCTTCAAGAGTCATTCTCAATAATGCCAAAGTCAAAGTGTCACTATGAACTCCACTAAGCAATAAACACTAACTCCAGGGCCTGGAAGAAAAAGTGCCCATCAAGAAGTAACACCTGTTTTATTAAAAATAATAGATGTATGGGCCGGCCCGGTGGCGCACTCGGTAGAGTGTGGCGCTTGGGAGTGCGGCAGCGCTCCCGCCGAGGGTTCGGATCCCATATAGAGACCCGTCCGCTCACTGGTTGAGTGCGGTGCGGGCGCGACACCGAGGGTGGCGATCCCGTTACCGGTCACGAAAAAAGACAAAAAGGAAAAAAATTTAAAAAATAAAAATAAAAATAATAGATGTATGATAACACCAAGGCCAAGGGTTCATATCCTGTTACCAGCCAGCTGCCAGATTAAAAAAAAAAAAAAAGAAATAGATGTAGCAACATTAGTTTCTACTGAAATTTGTCATAATTGGCATTTTTCAACTTATTTGAATTTATACAACACTTTTCATTTGCAAAGCTGCCCTATCATTTCTTCATAAACAATTTAAATTTTTATTTCACATGACCAGTGACTCAGCAATATTTATGTAAATTAATATAACCAGACTAAGCAATTCACATTATGAAAATGCAAAGATGTGCAAATAATTGGTAATTTCCACAAAAGACAGAGGT